TTCGAATTAGTCGTAGTGGATTGATGCAAGCAGGACAAACAAAATTGGACACATTAGATAAAGTACCAATTATTTTTGAACAACGTTTGTGACACAACTGGTTACACTGCTGACACTTGATTGAATTGTTACCTACACCAGCTTTACAAACTGAACAGGGCCATCGTTCAGTAGCTGTGGATTAGATGGGTTTACCAGTGTTCATTGCTTTGGTTTTGCTGATGTTGACTTTAAATCCATGATCGGCGAGTCTGGTGTCCCAATCATCAAACATCTGTGCTGCATTCTGCTCAGACATGGCTGCTTATAAGATATCATCAGCATATATTAGATTCCAAATGTCACCAGTGCGTATCGATTTTGTGATTTCTTCCATCAAAGTTATAAATAATAGTGGACTGGGAATCGAGCCTTGGTGAACCCCAACGCCGATGTCAGATGCATCTGTGTTTCCAACCGTTGTGCTGACGAGAGTCTTAGTATTCGTATACATTTCCATTACAAGTCGAACAAGATATTCTGAAATGAGTTGTCGACGTAGACTCACCTGATTTTTGACAGTCTTTATCCAAAATATATATATATATATATATATATAATTAATATACGCTTTACATATATATACGCTTAATATATATATATAAATATATATATATATATATATATATATATATATATATATATATTGGTAGACCATAATTTTTACAATATTCTATAAATTATACCGACGGTTTGTCGTTAATATGTTTGTAGTTCGTTTTTTCGATTTTTTCTCACTAAAGTTATTTAATTTATTTGAATATATATATATATATATATATATATATATAGATATATATAAAATAGAGTTCGGCATATAACAACTAAATTGTGTTGCTCTGAAAAAGAGAAACGATTTTATTAATAAAAATAAATTAATTAAATCAATTTAGCCTTAACTAAGTAAATGTCGTACCTGAAAAAGAGAAACAACAATTAAAGCTATTATATATAATAACCAATATTAACTAAGAGCTAGAAGAAATATTCAAAATATCCAAATAATTTCAACTCAAACAAAAACTTAAATTTAATCTGTCAAACGTTTCACAATTTACTCAATAACGTTGTACACCATAACTCAATTCATAATGAAGTGGAAATCCTTCATTACATCTCCCCCTCAAAAAAAGACTTAGATTCATCCGGCACAGGAACAAGTTTTGTAATGTGGAAAAGATTGGATTCAAACTTTTTGTGTCCTGTATTGATTCTATAAATTGAGTTTGACAATTTTTCCAAAACCTAGTAGGACCAATTTTTAATTCCTCTAGTTTTTTTCTATTTAATGAATTTCCGTTTTCACCATATACCAATTTTCCTATTTTTATTTCGTACGTTTTCCTTTTTTTATCAAATTGTTTTTTATTATAATTGTGTGATTTTATAGTTCTTTCCAATGCTATTGTTCTATCTTTCAATAAATCATTATATATCATGTTTTTTTTAATTCTTCTGGTAAAATATTATCAATTTTTCCTTCCAATAAATTTTTTGGCGAAAAACCTGTCACAGAGTGTTCGGTTTCATTATATTTTTTTGTACAATCCTGAGCAATAGTTGTCCAGGCTAATTTGTTTTTCTTCTCATTAATCTTGCACCTTATTTTATTGATTAATGTTTGATTTAATCTCTCATTGAGCCCATTTGAAAAAGGCGCATTCACTGCAGTGAAAACCATACTTATATTTTTTTCATCCAGAAAATTTTTAAATTCCTTTGAGTTTATACTCGGATATTGATCCGATAGAATGAGACCTATTTTATTTTCTGATGATACTGTATTGACAAGTTTTATAAAATCGCTTCAACTTTTAGATTTTTAAGTCAAAATATATGCATATCTTGTGAAGTGGTCTACCAGAAGATGCAAATATGTTTTAGTTGAACGTGAGCCACCAAGTCCCCCAATGGTATCAATTGACATGATTTCAAAAGGTTTTGTAGCGGGGCCTAGATGGGACATTAATCCTAATTTTTATTTTTTATGCAGATTTCATAAGTTTCGCAAAATTTTTTTATATTTTGTGTTATATTTTTTGCTATATACAAAGGTTTTATTTTTTTTCCATTTGTTGTATTCCTATGTGACCATATAAAATGTGCGTGTTTTCTATAATTTTTATACTAAATTCCTCAGTCAGTAAAATCTTTTCCGTTTTTCCCACCTTTTTGTAATATACTGTGTCTTTTAATAATAGTTGATTTTGGTGTTGTTTTATGTCTTCGTTTATTTCTTGGTCCTTTTGAATGTCTTCAAGTGTAATAAAATTTACAACTTTCAAAATATCTTCTTGGTTTTCATATGATTCCAATACAGGATTTCTACTCAAACTGTCTGCTTCTAAATTATATTTTCCTGGTGAATGTTTTACTTCAAAATCAAATTGTGACAAATAATACGTGAGATCACCTAGTTCTTCATCTGGTCTAGCTTTAATATTCAATTTTTCTAAGGGTTTATGATCAGAGAAAACCGTGAATTTTTTTCCCATGAGCCAATGTTGCCAATATTTTACTGCTTCTTTTATAGCTAAGCACTCCAAATGAATGGCTTTTTTCTTTTTTTCTCTATCATTTAATTACCTTGAGAAATATGCACAAGGCTTTTCTTCTACATTATATTGTGGTTGCTTCAGGACAGCACCTATACCCTGTATACTAGCGTCTGTATAAATGTGTATTGGTTTGTTTGGATCAAAGATATTTAAAATGGAGCTCTTACAAAGTAGATTTTTTATTTTATCGAATGATTCTTGACATTTTTTCGACCAAATAAACTGTTCATCTTTTCTTAACAACTTATACAGTGGCTCTAATATAATTGATAAATTAGCTACATATTTTCCATAAAAATTAATTTTACCCAAGAACTGTCGAACATTTTTCCGTGTTTTGGGGACAGGAAAATTTTTTATTGCAATTAAATTATCTTTCAATGGAGTTACTGTGTTATTTTTTATTATATGACCCAAATATTTAACTGAGTCTTGGGCAAAGTTACATTTAGAAAATTTTAATCTGAATCCTTCTTTCAGAATCGCATCCAATAGCAAGGATAAGTGTTTAATATGTTCTGTAAATGATTCAGAAAATATTAAAATATCATCTATGTAATTAACAGTGAAGTCTGATAGTCCGTGTTTCCTAATGATGCTACTCAATACTCTCTGAAAAATTGCCTGAGATGTTTTTAAACCAAATGGTAAGCAGGTCCATTGGAAATGATTTTCTTGAGTAGCGAATGCAGTTTTTTTTCTGTCTTCAATTTTTAAAGGGATTGACCAGAATGCAGAGTTTATATCCAATGTTGAAAAATATTTACAATTCCTTGTTTTTACCATTAAATCTTCGATTAGCGGAAACGGATGTGATTGAGGAACTACGATTTTATTTAGGTCACGAAAATCTATGCATAATCTACAATTTCGTCCTTCTTCTTTTTTTATAAGCCAATGTTACTGGAGCTGCAAAAGGACTATAAGACTCTTCAATCAAATTTTTCTGTAATAATTTTGATACTTGCTGTTCTATTTCTTTTTTATCTTCAATACTACACCTGTATGGTCGTTTACTACAGTATTTATCTACTTGTAAATAAATATGGGCTTCATATCCTTTCACCGTGCCTATGTCGTACTTATCTTTAGCAAAAAGTGTTTTATATTTTGAAATTATTTTATTGTAAACATTGTAAACTTGTAAACATTTATTAAAAAAAAATTTACCACGTTACATGTAAAAAAGTAAAAATTTTCGGACACAGTCGAAATTAATTTCGCAAAAGGATTCGATCTGCATTCAACAAGTATTAATTACAAATTTTCATGTTTTAATTAATCAAAAATTAAATATTTACAAATAGAATGTTCGAAATTACTTAAAGCGATATCGATAATACAGGAGAACAGTGGTCGTGTAGCTGTTAAGACGTTCAGTAGCATTCTACCTTTTTAATCATTGCTTGGTAGCCTTCCTCCTTCTAGTGGCCAACATTTCATACAGAGGGTTGTCACTAACACAGGCTCTGAAATAAATTATTTGTTACAAATTTTAACAAACTTTTAATTGTAGAATGTTATTCAAACAATCTACTCAATTAAATTCAGACAAAAGTGTAAAAGAGCGTGTTTAGTGGTGTAAAGTATTTATGAAGACCATAATGTTGCTTGAAAAGTTAATGTTTTGTCAATAAATCTAAATTAACATAATCTTTGTTCTAAAGAACCTCAAACTTCTAATCCAGTCATCTCTGTCTTCAACTGAAATTGCACTCATCTTATAAACGCTGTGGTTACCTGTTAATGTAAAAAACTATATCTTAATATAATGAGATTAGAGTAATTCCTGACTAATAACTTTTTGTTATTATACTCGCGAAAATTAGTGCGAAAAATTAATAGAACTCTTCCGCAAATCTGATAGACATGTACTGATGTAACCTTCCACGACTTTCCCTTCGGAATCTGTTTTGCAAGCTTTAATGACTTCGCTACCAGTCGAATGTATTTCAAAACAGTACGGTCGATGATTGCTTGTTACTTCTCTAACCTGAACATTTTCAAGTGGTATAATTCCTTTTGGCTCTTTGTCCTAGAAGTTTTGGATTTATTATATGATGATTTTCTGTTATATAAAATATTTTCGACCAATATAAAATATAAAGTGAAATTTTTACGTATTTAGACATATTTTTAATATTTATAACTTACAATAAAGAACAAGAAGTTCTAAAAAAATCTTAACATGTGAAACAAACTTAGCAACAAAATTTCGAATGAATATTTGATGCATATAATAAAATACGGACCCCAAATCAAACAATTAACATGGCAGTCATATCGAAAAGAAAGCAAAATAAATTCAAAATCTAACTGTAGTGAATTCAAAGTAATAGAGACAGTTATCATTTAAGATGAACCATCTGTGCTTCCAGCTTTTCACCCGACCTCCTTCAATTAAATAATCATAATTTGAATAAAGCAGTCGCTATTAGGATTCAGCGGTTTAGAAGTTTACACCACACTGATCAAAGAATCAAATTATCATACGTAGATTTTACTCTAGAGATCAAAAAAGCCAAAGGTCTTATACGCTTTTCCAAAGTATATAAATACGTGATAAACGACGCATTACAAGCAAAGCTTGTGGTAGTCGCTAGACGGTGAACATGATCAGGCGCTTTTAATCGCTAGGCCGTTTCACACCTTATTATTTCCCAATTAGAGATAGTATTAGAAACAACAACAAAAAATTCAAAATTTTAAAAAACTTTTTCAAATTTTTAAAAACTTTCAAAAAAGAAAGCAAAATAGTGGAATATTTGACAGCTTTTGGCGCAAATGAATGAATGCTGTGTTCTGAGCGTCGATTCGAACGAATTTAAAAGAAGTAGAACGAGAAGCAGAATGGCGCCACCTACCTTGTTTCCATAGCCAACCCTCTTTTACAGGATTGAAGAAAGTGTGCATCAGGTCATTGCCATCATCTTCCGGAATCTTGAACGGTTCATTCTTTATGCTTTCATATAAACTCTTGAATTAAACAATTATTCATATTTTAAAATTTACGATATCTGCATTTCAAATTTGGCACGAAAGTGCGATCTTTAATCCTTCAAATATGCGGCGCTGTCAAAGTGGGTTTGCTTAGTTATTCTTAATTTTTTCTGTGTAGTGTTCCTTTGGATTTGAAAATAATAATTTTGAATCGAATAAACTCCAATGCAGTCTGCGCCGGTCTGAAATGTTGGAACATGTTCTTTCCAAGCTAACAAACATTCTAAACTATAAGGCATCTTTTAAGACTTAAGTGAAAGTTAAAGTAATAACTTTTTGAAGTAAATTAAGAAGACCAAAGGTTAATAATCTGACTGATTTTTTTCAGATGAAAAATCTACTGATGATTTTAAGACTAAAGAAAAATTTATTTACGGGGTAAAGAGTTTGTCATGGTTTAGTTAATTTAAGAATAAAAAGTGTAGCTTTAAAAAATCTAAAGATGATTAACATTTTTTGAAATAAACTTTTGAAGATTGAATTGCAGTGAGATAGATAGTCGGCGTTTGGATTCAGAGTAACCGTAACGGATACGTTAAAAAACAGTAAAATACAAACGATGCGCTAGTATTGTACGAATGTTTTCAGCATTACAAGATTAACCAAACGTAAAAAAATTAACATGAAGGAATTAATTAGATAAAGAAGTTGTTACCTCGAGAAGTTCTTGGGGCAGATCTCCACCTTCGTTGATGCCTCTGTTCATTGCTATGAATCTTTCGACTGTCGGCTTGTCCTTCACGCTGGGATTGTGTAGGCAGGTGTTCAGCATGATTATCGCAAATGACAAAACGTAACATGTATCTGAATTCAGTGAAGCCACGAATGCAATGAATAATAATTTAAAGTAGAAACAAGTGAGTTGCGTTTCACCAAGAATTGGTTGAGTATTTAAAAACAAAACATTAGTTATAAGTAACATAAGAACTGCAAGTAGTTAACATATAACTGATGGTTTAGTGTGAAGCAGAAACAATGAAACAATAATAATTTTTATTCTTTTCTCCGGTGAAATAACACAGTTAATAGGAGACTCTTACATCGGGTGGGGCATGCAAGTGTGCCACCGCCGATGTGGAAAAAAAAAAAAATCTGTAACAACAAATTTAGAGAAACAGTAAGGAGAATGAATTTCCTTCAAATCAAAAATAAATCTTTTAGTAATTTTTAATGTTATGAAGTATTGTAGAGACTTGAAAAATACTTTTATCGAATTTCATTTATAATCATAATAAAATTACATACGTTTATGGCGTATTCATGGGAAAATCTTTTCGATGATTTAAAAAAAATATTCTCAAATCTTTTGTCAAATTTTTTTATTTATTTTATTATATATATATATATATATATATATATATATCAGGAATGTACCGGATTTAGGTTTTTCAAGTCCGGCCGGGGTCGGACTTGGCCGGATTTAAAATTCAAAAATCGGCCGGCGCCGGATTTTAGTTACCATTTTACATACGTTACATTTACGGTTATCTACATGTTGAACATCAAAAAATAACACCAAGCAAATAGTTAACTAATTCAAATATATGAATAAGATGTGTGATACTCCAAATTCTGTATACAAAGATCAGCCTATAATTTATGCATAACCCATGTTATAGCATAAAGAAAATTGTCCAGCTCACCTCACAATTAGTGATGTTGTTATTAAGTTTCATGTATGCACGTGCACAAGTTCTTTTACACAAAGATCAGCTTATAATTTATGCAAAACCCATGTTATAGCACAAAAAAAATTGTCCAGCTCACCTCACAATTAGTGATGTTATAATTATGTGTCATGTATGCCTAGCCTAACCTTTAACATATCATGTCCTTAAATTATGCGCTTATGTATCTATTTATTATATATGTATATGTATATATATATATATATCTATTAAAGTTAAATAACGTAAGTAAATAAATTAAGTATAATAAACAATTATTTTGTAATATAACATAATTAAATATATTATATGTGAAATATTATGTTAATAATAATAATAATAAATTAAACATTTCGTGATGAAGGTAAAATAAAATTGGAATAAATTTGTTTGTTCAAATTAGGTTTATAAATATTAATAAATAGGGATTCTAAAATTTGTAGTCTGTTAAAATTAGTGTCTTTCATTAATATTTTAGTATTATCTTCTAATATTTTGCGGGATAATTGCTGGTTGTGGCAGTCATGGTAGTGTTGATTTGGAGCTCCGATGTTCAAATGGCAGGTTAAACGGCGTGTCAGTTTTGTGGTAGTCATTCCAATATAAGAAGATGGACGAAGCCTACAGTCTTCGTGAGGACATAGAAATTGGTAGATGACGTGGGAGTGCTGTGTTGTTGCTAGTTTAACGTTGGGACTATTTTTTATTAGTAGTTGTTGCGACTTAAAATTTTTATAATAAATAAAGAAGGTTTATTTTTTCATTAGAATCAACTGGATGGACTCCTTTTATAATGAATTTTTATAATTATATATTCGTCTTCTTTATACGAAAAGCTCATTAAGTTACGATAAATGTTATAAAAGTTAAGTTATATTGGAATGACTACCACAAAACTGACACGCCGTTTAACCTGCCATTTGAACATCGGAGCTCCAAATCAACACTACCATGACTGTCATAACCAGCAATTATCCCGCAAAATATTAGAAGATAATACTAAAATATTTATGAAAGACACTAATTTTAACAGACTACAAATTTTAGAATCCCTATTTATTAATATTTATAAACCTAATTTGAACAAACAAATTTATTCCAATTTTATTTTACCTTCATCACGAAATGTTTAATTTATTATTATTATTATTAACATAATATTGCACATATAATATATTTTATTATGTTATATTACAAAATAATTGTTTATTATACTTAATTTAACTACTTACGTTATTTAACTTTAATCGTTACGTTACTTTCGCGCTCAACTTTTATTACGTCATCTGACAGTTTATTGTTATGTTTTATTTGAATATATATCTATATATATATATTATATATATCTATATATATATATTATATATATTATATATATTATCTATATTATATATATATATATTAAATATATAAATATAATATAATATATATTATATATATATATATAATATATATATATATATATATATATTAAGTAGGTATATGATCCGTCATATACAATTATATTGTATATACACGTGCACAAGTTCTTTTACACAAAGATCAGCTTATAATTTATGCATAACCCATGTTATAGCATAAAGTAAATTGTCCAGCTCATCTCCCAATTATTGTACGTCATGTATGCTTAGCCTTTAATTTATTGACATAAAATTAATTGAATTCAATAAAAATTTTTTTCTATTTATAACATTTTTAAATGTTGATAGACGCTTAAATCCGGCCCTAAATCCGGCCGGGGCCGGATTCGGCCGGATTTGAAAAAATAATTGCAATATGGTTTTGGTTTTTCTGATGGAGTGTTAGAATGGATGAAATCTTATTTGGTTGGTAGATCTCAACAGGTATCAGTTGGAGTTGTCTTTGGTGTGCCACAGGGATCGGTTCTTGGCCCGTTGTTTTCTACTCTACACGTCAGAGGTATTTAACGTTGTTGAATCATTTGGGTTTACAACTCATGCTTTGCGGACGATATTCAAATAATAGTTAATAGTACAATAGATTCATTCCCGTTGGAAATGAAAAGATTTGTAGAATGCTTGTCAGCTGTTGATTTATGGATGTCGTAAAATGGCTTGAAATTAAACCAAAATAAAACTAAACTTTTGCCGGTGGGAACATGGCAGCAGTTGTCAAAATTGAAGATAAACTCGATCACAGGTAGTGCTCCAAAGTATCTGCAGGATAGGATCAACAGAGATTTACCACGTCCGACCGGGATTCATCTAAGATCATTTGATATGAATCGGTTGATAGTTCCTGCTACAAACTTGTGTATTGGTTCACGAAGCTGTGCTGTTTCAAGACCGACTGTCTGGAATGGTCTGCCGGCTTCGCTCAGGGACACTGGGTTGACCATGACATGCTTCAGAAAGGAACTCAAAACATATTTGTTTTCGTATTAATATATAATAAATAATAAATCGTATTAATAAATAACATATTAATTTTTTGAATTGTTCTATAGTGTTTTTTTTTGTGATTGTGTTGAATTGTTGCAATTTTTTCGCTGCCAGACAATTATTTCTATGTTTAACTTCATTTTAGTGAGGATATGTTTAATTTTATGTTTAATTTTGTGTTTAACTTTTTTGATGGAGCTTTTGAATTTTAATTCACTAGCGCTAGATAAATCTTTTGATAATGATAATATATATATATATATATATATATATATATATATATATATATATATATATATATATGCATAAATATATACGGTTACATTCAAATTAGATTTTGTGCTATAACCAAATAGAAGCAAAATACGTTAAATATATTAGGTCAACAGAACTGACAGAACTGCTCAATGAAATAAACGTGGGAGATTTAGATCCAAAACGGTAAGTAACTCAAACCAATGAGGAACGAGATAAATCGTTAAGAACATCTACAAATCTTATGGAATGAATGTTAGCAATAATAATAGATGGCATTATTTAATAAAAATTGAACATTAATCATACTAGCATTACAAATAACATTTATTATATAACATAAATAACATAATATTAGCATTATAAATAACAACAATACTAATAAGCTTGTTAGAAAAACCATAGTTATAATAAAATACTGTTGTCAGATAACAAGCTGAATATAAATACCGAAAATTAGAAATAGACTAGCCGGTGGTTTTAAAAATTGCAGGATTCTGATCGAAGTACCTCTGGGCAAACATTTCCATCATTCGATCGATTTTCTGCGCCTCTCCTGGTAACCGAAAACTCCACAAAAACTGTCTGAAAAATATAAATAAAACTCATCTGACACGAATTTTCGTAAAGTAACATGCCATGCAAATAATGATTTTTTGATTAAGAGATTTGTAGGGTTCGGTCGGCGTGCCATAAAGAAAGTGAAAACAGTCGATCGAACTAAGCTCGAGAACGGGAAAACATGTAAAGAATATGCTGTTGACGGACGATTAGCGAGTATTAATAGAAATAAATTTAATAGCCAATCACCTGCAATACTTGAGGATATAAATAAGGACAGTCAACAGGCCAGGCAAAATACGTTAAATAGACAAGTCTACATCAACTTGGCCCTGTCAACAGCTTCATTTCAGTTAACGCGTCCACGTCAACACTTTGTCGTTGGTAGAGTTTTATTTGACGCGTTCTACAGGAACTTTTCTTCAACAGCTTCATTTCAGTTAAAGTGTCCAAGTCAACACTTCGTCGTAGTAGAGTTTAATTTAACGCGTTCTACAGCAACTTTTCTTTCACAGCTTCATTTCAGTTAACGCGTCCACGTCAACACTTTGTCCTTAGGTAGAGTTTCATTTGGTGCGTTCCACAACAACGTTTCTTCAAGAGCTTCAGTTCAGTTGTCGCGATTGCATCAACACCCGTAACAATAACATTGTCACAATTTTATGATTTCTTATTACTATTGAAATTTTATAGCATTATTATTTATAAACTGAAATTCACTATTATTATTTTATTGTTAGCTCATGTTATAAGTCACGAACTATAGTCGATTACTTTTCCTGTATTTTATTTAACAATTATTAATATTTACGACTTTCCTTAGCATCTGTAGTTAAGGTTTGATTTCCAGAGCCATTCATCATTATTATTTGTTATCGTTGATGTACTTGAATGATATTATTTCTTTTAGGAATAGAATATTTGATTTTGAGCTGACGCAGATATTGAACTGGACATTTGGTGTCAGAAGTGGGATCGTATAAGTACAGGCAACAGATACTCAGATAAATCATGGAGACTAGACCAAAACAAAAAATGCAAGAGGACAATGATGAAACCATGAGAGAAAAAAAATTTAAGGCCGAAATGGAATTAAGAAGGGAAGAAATGCGATTAAAAATGGAGGCCATGAAAATAAAAGAAGAATCCAGATTGAAAGAATTAGAAATTCAAATAAAAAAGGAACAGAGAGCATATAAACCGGTAACAAAAGAGGAAAATAAAGAAGCATATGATGATTGTCAAAACATAAACATTTGGTCACTGACATTAAAAAATTTCATTGGCGCAAACCCGGAAGATGCAAGAAAATTACTTGCATACTTTGAGTGTGTTGAGAGATTTTTCCGTGCTCACGAGATAGATCCTTCATTTCATGCACGACTCTTGATATCAGTTTTGCCAGAAAGATTAAAAAAAATTGCAAACGAATATGATATACACGGAAATACGGAGGATGAGTATTATCTTATCAAGAACCAGTTATTGAAAGAATTACGATTCGATCCTATTATACTACGAAATGAGTTCTACTCGATATGACAAAAACAGAATGAAAGATACACGGCTGTACTATCTCGTTTAAGGAGAACCCTAGAATATTACTTTAAGAGCAGAGAAGTACAAAACCTGCAAGAAGCAATAGAGTTGATATGTGCTGATCGATTAAAGGAAATAATACCAAAGTCGACACTAGAATCTGTATTGGCAAAGGAAACGCAGGACTGACTTCGAGGGGAGAAATTAGCAAGAACCATAGATCACTTTGAATTAAATATAGGAATAGCTGATAAAGTGAAACGATTTGATGGGGGTAGAAGTACACACTATCAGGTGGAAATATATAGCATGGGCGACATGACGGGTCAAAGAAGAACCGGTCAAAACAGAGCGACCACGAGGTGTTACAACTGTGGGGAGAACGGTCACCTTGCTCGTTTTAGCAAAAAACCCAAGTTCACATCAATATAAAAACAAGTAATGGAATGTCAAATAGTAAAAGAAGAACGGGTTAATGATGATAATGACAGGAAACCAAAAGAGTAAATTTATTAACAGAAATATCTGACATCTTGAATGGAGAGGAGATAAACGAAGGAAAGATAAAACATCCGAGTAATGAAAACAACTTATCAAATAAGTTCAGTGACGGCGTAATAGTTGCAGACAAATATTTTGATCGACCATACACTCATATTATCATTAATGACAGTTTTGGTTGTAAAGCTTTGATAGATAGCGGAGCAGAGGTATGTTGTATCGATCAAAGCATAGTAAAAGAACTAAATTTGACGACTCTCGGAAAGTTGAAAGTGAGCGGAATCGGAAAGGAAGTCAGAGAAGTGGATTGTACGTGGATTTACGTCAAAACACGTCCAGACCATCCCTCAAGTTACAATATGGCACCGGCGGCGAAAATATTGGTAGCTATTATTCCAGATTTGGGCAGCAACATTATAATTACCCCAAACGTGTCAGTTGATTTAGAACACTTCAACAAATATAAACTACCCCACCCACCAACGAATAACAAAAAAAAATCAACAACACGATAGCACCGGGGAAATACATGAGGTACAGGTAACAGAGAAACACGATAAATTTGTCGAGAAGAAGGGAGAGGAAGGAGTTGCAGAAAAAACCAGACTCCATCAGGAACAATCGAATTGCAGTACGCTAAAAAGGGCATGGAATTTAGCTAGGCAAAACAAAGGAAACTTTTTTGTGAAAGACACCATACTTTACCATAAAGAAAGTATTTTGGGTCATAGAGTAAATCAGTTGTGTCTACCAGCCACAAGAATCAAAACTATTCTCGAATTGGGTCATGATGCTCCGTTCGCTGGACATATGACCTTTAAGTCTACAAAATGGCGGATAGCACTCAATTTTTGGTTCCCGGAAATGTCTAAAAAGATTCGACAATATTGCAAAACATGTAAGATTTGTCAGTTGCGTGCTGCTCCAGTAATACAAAATACAACACAGAGTACCGATCGTACTGATCTGGCGCAAAGATGAACTATCATTCACTCACCTGATCATGGATTGCATTGGTCCATTGATAAATGTTGAAGGAGCTTCAAGCAAACCAGGATATAACTATGTCTTGGTGATAGTAGATTTATTTACAAGATGGCCCATGGCGTTTCCATTGAAATCGCTCAGTGCCAAGGCAGCCTGTGAAATATTGCTACAAATTTTCATGACTTACGCCATCCCAAAGGTGATAAGTTCTGACAGAGGGACAAATTTCACGAGTGAATTAACACAAGAAATGCTACGGCAATTGGGTTGTACGCCACGTTTTAATTCACCAGGACATCCGGAGGCAGAGGGTTTAGTTGAACAATGCAACCATACATTGAAAAATATAATTTTTAAGTTAGCACAAGATAACCCAAGAAGTTGGCATCAATTATTACCGTTTATATTGTGGTGCTTGAGAGAGAAACCATCGGCCACAACTCATGTCAGCCCTTATACGCTATTATATGGAAGGTTGCCTCGTGGTCCACTTACTGTATTAAAAGAAAACTGGATCGGGGAAAATATGTTTCCACTAAACGTGGGAAAAGGCCCCGAAGAATATTTAATGCAGTTGAAACACAACCTAGAACTGGCTAGAGCCTATGCGGATTATCATGCAGAAAAGGAACAAAAACAATATCAGCGTCATTACAATTTGAGAAGCACCGATAGACACTACACAATTGGAGATAAAGTCATCATTCTGACAGCAGCACAAAAACCCAATAAGTGGTGCAATCAATGGCAGGGTCCAGGCACAGTTACAAAGGTAATGTCACCGTATTCGTACATGGTAGAAATTAGTGAAAAGGTACAACATGTCCATGCAAACAAAATTCGGAAATACTACGAGAGAGTAGAGGCGACGATTGTCAATAGTTGCGCCATATTACGAGAACAGGATAATATGTTTGGTCAGATAGAAGCGTTTAACAAGGATCAGGAAAATGAAGAAGAAAGTTTGGTCGGAAAATCACTCACGTTGTCGCACTTGACAGATCAAAAACGAAAGGAATTAATGACACTAATCAATCAATATCGATCTGCCTTTTCCAACAAAGTCGGTTACGTTGATAGTATACAGCATAAAGTGACGGTAAGTACAGATTTTACACCCAAAAGATTGAGAGCATATAATATTCCCGAACAGGTTAAAAGGCAAATCCAAGATATGTTAAGTCAAGACATCATAGAACCATCTCGGTCGGAAATGTCTAGCCCCGTGGTGTGTATTCTAAAAAAATGGTGACGTTAGATTGGCCATAGATTTCCGATACATCAACAAATTTTCAATAGGCGACGCGTTTCCGGTTCCCGATGTCCAAGAAGTCCTACAAAAAGTCAGTGCAGGTTACTATATCAGCAGCTTCGATGCAAAAAGTGGCTACTGGCAAATACCCATGGACCCAAGTTCACGATGGTTGACAGCATTCACCTGTTTGGATAGACTCTATGAATTCACACGTATGCCATTTAGGTTGAAGGCGGCGGGTGTCACATTTACCAGAGCCATGAAGGAACTCACTAGGGGCTTGGAAGAATTTACCGAGGTTTATATAGATGACTTGGCCATATTCTCAAACACATGGGAACAGCATCTGAAGCACCTACGCACATTTCTTGAAACGGTTACTAAATCAGGCTTAACACTCAATATGGCTAAATGTGTGTTTGCCGCACCTAGAATCAAATTTTTGGGTCACGTGATAGGAAAAGGAGAGATACAGATTGACAAGTGCAAACTACAGGGTTTAGATGAAATTAAGCCACCAAAAACAAAAAGGGACATTAAAAAACTCACCGGGTTTTTCAATTATTTTTAAAGATTTGTTCCGAACCTCGCAGATACTATGAACCTTATCACAGACTTAACCAAGAAAGGGAGCCCGAGTCGTATAGTATGGACAATACAACACCAGGAAAAATTAAACCACATAATACAAGATTTAAAGCAGCGACAAACTTATACACTGTAGATTATAAACGACCTTTCGCCCTAATTACCGATGCCAGCGAACACGCCATGGGGTGTTGCTTAGTACAACCCGATGAGGCAAATTTTGAAAGACCGGTCGCCTTTGCGAGCAAAAAATTTACAGAACAACAAAGACATTGGGCCACTATAGAAAGAGAGGCATTCGCGATCATATGGGCCCTACAAAAATTCAGAAGCTGGATCTGTATGTCCGAAGTTACTATATATCACAATCCATTGACGTTTCTCACAGAGTCAACGCCAAAGAGTGCCAAATTACTAAGGTGGGCACTGGCCCTACAAGAATACAATCTCCACTTTACCTATCGTGCCGGCAACCGCAATGTGGCTGATTATCTTTCACGACTAAAGAGCGAAGTCAAGACTCCATGTGAATGTTCTTGGAATACAAAGAATATTCCGTGTGTGATGTGAGGTATGTAACGGTTCGGTCGGCGTGCCATAAAGAAAATGAAAACAGTCGATCGAACTAAGCTCAAGAACGGGAAAACATGTAAAGGATATGCTGTTGACGAACGATTGGCGAGTATAAATAGAAATAAGTTTAATAGCCAATCACCTGCAATAATTGAGGATATAAATAAGAACAGTCAACAGGCCAGGGCAGGAAATGGTGGTAGTTTGGTGCGCTGGTGACTAGTTCACGTTTGGTTGTATTTGGTGCGTGGTAATTTACTTCGTTGGGTTTCGGTTTGGTACTTTGATAGTTACGTCAGAGCCGGATAAGTGTGAGAGAGAAACTTGGCCCTGTCAACAGCTTCATTTCAGTTAATGTGTCCACGTCAACACTTCGTCGTTGGTAGAGTTTCATTTGACGCATTCTACAGCAACTTTTCTTCAACAGCTTCATTTCAGTTAAAGTGTCCAAGTCAACACTTCGTCGTTAGTAGAGTTTAATTTAACGCGTTCTACAGCAACTTTTCTTTCACAGCTTCATTTTAGTTAACGCGTCCACGTCAACACTTCGTCCTTAGGTAGAGTTTCATTTGATGCGTTCCACAACAAAGTCTCTTCAAAAGCTTCAGTTCAGTTGTCGCGATTGCATCAACACCCGTAACAATAACATTGTCACAATTTTATGATTTCTTATTACTATTGAAATTTTATAGCATTATTATTTATAAACTAAAATTGACTATTATTATTTTATTGTTAGCTCATGTTATAAATCACGAACTATAGTCGATTATTTTCCTGTATTATATTTGACAATTACTAATATTTACGACTTTCCTTAGCATCTGTAGTTAAGGTTTGATTTCCAGAGCCATTCATCATCATTATTATTTGTTATCGTTGATGTACTTGAATGATATTATTTCTTTTAGGAATAAAATATTTGATTTTGAGCTGACGCAGATATTGAACCCGACAAGATTATTAATGAAGAATTAATTTAAAACAGCGATAACGTTCTAACTTCTATGAAGATCACGTAAATAAAAAGCAAATTGAATGTCATTAGATGAGAATGTTGAAGATGAGCTACCAGGGTTCGAATTGATAAAGGGGTTGGAGGGGGGGTTTTACCCCCCTACCTCTGAAATAAGACCCTCCACTTTCATTTAATTTTAATGTTGGAGGGGTCAAAATTTGAACCCCAACTTTAAGAAATTTATAATTTTGTTATTGTTAGATTGTATTGCTGATTTATATAGCCCTTCTTGTGAGTTATCTTCAAAAGTGCTTTTTTTTAGATTGGATTATACTTGTCACATTTATGCATTATTATTCGGTGATATGGTTATTGTTCACCATTTTACTAATATTTGTTTTTAATTGTAACTTAAATCCACTTTTCGTTTTTGCTTTCGTGACGGATGTTTGTGTCTGTAATATACCGTATACGGCAGCGCGTGCGATTGCTTTTTAATTACGTATACTTTATAAAAAGTTTCGGAATACGAACTATTTCCTATAATTATAAAATTAATTTGAGCTAAGAAGAAAATGAAACGAAGTTTAAAAAAAATTTGATGGCAATATTTATAAAACTGATTCATCTTCACATACTTTAAATCTTTTTAACAAAATGAAAGAGAGGACTTCTAAAGACTTTAAATGTAAAAGTAAAGGTAATTAAATTAAAATTGGTTGTTTTTAACCTATAATTTATTATTTTTAACTTAAATCTAATTATTTTTCAGCGATGGAAAATACTGATTCAGAAGTAGAGTCTGCTGCACATTTACCAACTTTTTTCAATATCTCAAGTTTGGTAGAATCAAATGAGGACATATGTAATGAAGAAAACATTGTTGAAAAACGGTTTCAGTAGCCATCAGATTCAACAGAGAATGTAAACCAGAAACAAAACAGATGCTCTGGTTTTCCAAAAGTGTGCAGAAATGAGCTTCAGTTTAAAGCTTGGCAAAAGTCACGGTCATGGCTCATGATGAGTTCAACTGGGTCGGTTATGTGCAGTATTTGTATAGAAGTAAATTTTTCTACACCAGCAAGTGATGTGGCACCTGGTTATCATAAGCACCGGGATTTCAAATGTACAAACACTTATTGTCTATGTAAGAACAAGTTTTGATGAGAGTGTGCATGTTTATTTTTTAGGTTTAATTCCCATCGAAGTAGCAACTGTATCTGCTATTTTTGACAAAATGCAATATTGTACAGATATTGGGTTCACAGATGATGTAATTTCAAAACAGCTAATAGGTTTTTGTAGTGATGGTGCAAGCTGTTTTCAAGGTATAGCCACATTACTTAAAAACACAATTCCAAATCTACAAACATTTCATTGCATGGCTCACCGTCTCGAACTTGCTGTAAAAAATGCTGTTGAATCAATAAATGGCATTTGTCATTTTAGGGATTTTATAGATGGCCAAAGAATGCACGAGAAGTGGAAAATATTGCAAAAAGTTTATCTGTTGAATTTCTTAAAATAAGAAAAGTTTTCGATATTAGATGGGTTTTCTCATCATATTTATCAATGAAGGCTGTTTTGAACGACCTTCCAGCCTTGTTTCAACATTTTAATAATTGTTCGGAAGATAGCGGTCGAAATGGCAAAAAAAAAGGGAAGTACCTGGGTTTTTCTAAAAAAATACAGTTTTGGCTATTTTTATCAGAGGTAACTATGCTACTTGGTGCCCTTTTTATTCTCATGCAGCTGTCAAAATATTTACAAAGTACTAATTCAAGTGTCAAATCTGCACAGCTGCACATTGACACAGCAAAAAATAAACTTCTTGGTTTAAAAGTAGTACATGGTGATAATTTAACAAATTTTTTTAGTCAGTATGACAATGATGGTACATTTGAAGGTATTTTAGTGAATAAAAACCCATCTGATCAAGACAATTTATTCAGAATTAAAAATCAATTTTTTCAGGCATTATACAACATCAAGCAAATATTTCCTAGCGATATGCTTTTAAACAGTGCCTTAGCACTCAATGAATTGACATGGCCTGCAGATCCTATTGAGCTTGCTCTGTATGGTGAGAGGGTAATTGTTGATTTTTACACACTTTTAGATATTGATTCGGTTACTGTATCGATATGCTTTCAGAATTCAGTTTTCAAAAAACCCCAAAAAATGGGAAGTCTTTTAAAATCTTTAGATCTTGCGGTTCAAACATATCCAATAAGCAGTGTAGATTGTGAGAGAAGATTTTCACAAATTAATTTATGCCATACTGACACTAGAAATAGGCTAGGTCCTGAGGCAATATCAAATTTATTAATGATTAGCATAAATGGTCCTCCATTGGAATTATGGAATCCTAAGAAATATGTGATATCTTGGCTGAAAAACGGGAAACGAGGTGCGTTGGATAAAGCCACTGGTATTAATAAAAAGAAACCGTCTTGGATCATTCTGCTAAATTGTTTTTGTTGTAATATTTGTTTTGAGAAAAAGTTAAAAAAACTGTCTCGGATCATTATGCTAAATTGTTTTATTGAAATTGTTTTTATTAATAGTAGTTTTAGTTTTGATAAAAATTTGTGAATTTGAATCAAATTGTCAAATGTTTAAGCTACAATGCAAGCCTGTTAAAGGGATAATAGAAAAATTTTTTAATAATTTGTTAATGGACAAAAAATTATAATTCTTTTTGTAATTTACTGTTGTATTATTTGAACATATTAAACTATTTTTATATAATACAATTTTAAATTTGTGAACTCTTGCGAAAATCATTTTTGAAAACTTGTTTATTATAGCCAAAGTTATGAAAATTTATGGTCTTTCATGTAATTTTCGTCCAGTGTTAAAGCATAGTTTTAATAAGAATATTCCATGCTATATTATCCCTAACAATAATAAGATATCTATGGTTAAAGTTAAAACTGTATAACAAAATTGATAATCCACTTAATATTCGTAACTATTGACAACCTGTTATGTAATTTAATGTATAATGTTAGAAAACTCAGCATTTGAAAAAATACAATAAAATAATTTTTTAATTCCTCAAATGCTACACATACCCCCTAATCGCGAGGATTTTCGCGCCTTAATGCTGACTTCACCCGCCAATCCTTATGACCCCCCTACTTTTTTTTCACAATTCGAACACTGTGGGCTACAGTGTGCCAAACAGTATCAGAATCGATAGTGAGTAGTGACCTAGTAAAGAATGACCAAGTAAAGAAGTAGTTGGTCATCATAAGGTTCAGATCTATTTGAAGCCAACAACTTTAAATCGCATCCAGATTTTAAATATATATTCTATGCACACACGAACATGCTCATATAATCACCCACACACGCTGTCACAATCATGGTGAACCAACCTGAGTGCTTGTACGAGGATCATGCCACAGAAGTCGTTCAACATGACAAATGATTTCAACACTTGGATATTCAACTCATCTCTTACAATAATATAAATTATTCATTTTCATTTAAATAATGATTTTTCACCAACATTTCAATAAATTAGTTTGTGCAAAATATTTTAGAAAATTTATTTAGAGATCGTTTTTATACAACTTGAAAATTTTGAGAAAAATTACGAATAAATTTTTTCTACCTTTCTCCTAAGTAATTTCCTATGGCAGTTTTATTAAGGCCATCACCTTTAAACAAGAAATGAGCTATACTTTGAGCATTATTTTCCAGCAGATTGTGTTCTATCAAATACTGTATTCCCTGCATGAATTCGATGTGTCAGAACTAATAAATCATCATTTTTTGCTAATAAATAACCAAGTTTTATAAAATTTCTCAAATAAATACGGATTTGAATTAAAAATGCAGTCAAAGGCAGAAGTGAAGTAGAAAAAGAAATACATAAAAAATCACGTATTCAAGTTTATATGCACCAAAATAAAGGAATAATTAACGACAAAAAAGTGTATTTTTATAACTTTAGTTATACAAAGCTATTTTGCAAAAATGTAGAAAAAATTACGTAAAGAAATATAAAATTCTAGCATGAAATGAACTAAAAATAGGCATTAATCAGTGATCTTTGTTTTTATAAACCTTATGATATATTTTTATCAAGGAAACTTTTGTAACAATAACCTTTTTTGGATCCATGTTGAATTTCTTTCTACCAATTGATAAATATTTCTCTTGTGGATTTTCTCTAAAAGTTAGTGTAATTTTACGAATTTCAATGAAATGAAGTATGTCACATTGCTATACCTTTCAGCTTCTGTATTTTCAAATGCTTCAATCTCATTGATGACTTGTGATATCTCATCTTTGATTTGCTAGCAATTAATTTAAAATATGACAACTAGAGTGTGTGGTGAAAAGTTTTTCGATACAAATGAAAGCAATAAAATAATGTTACATGGCATATTTGATAAATTCAATACTAATAATTATTTTATAAAAATAATGTACAACCAATTAAACCAGATAAAAACTTCTTAATACTTGAATGAAATTCACAATGGTATGGTAGGTACCTGAATATCATGCAGAAGCAACTGTTTTCTCCAGCAAATTTTGGCTAACAAAGCTTTTTCATCGTCATTTAAATCTATATTTGGTTATCAATTGGCACATTCTCAATGTTCACTAACAATTTTTCAATCATCAATAATTTTTTTTATAAAATTATAATTGAAAATAAATTAAATTTTGAAATTATTTTGTTTTAGAAATTAAAATATGAAATAAGTTTTGGACTGAACGTAATTTTAATGTGACATGACATCAATCAATTTAATCAATCAATCAGTTAGTTTTTAAAGCGCTTTTTCCGCGGTCTCCAACAGCGCTCTCAGTGAATTTTACAAACAAATGGGTCTTGAGATTCGCTCTGAACTTCGTAAGTGAGAAGGAGGTAGAGAGCTCCAGAGAAAAGGGCCAGAAAAAGCAAGCGCAGATTTAGCATAAGAGTGTTAAGACGAGTTAAGAAGAATAACACGATATTAGCTAGTAATAGTTTATTTTTAAATGAAATAAAAATTTAATCATTAAATCAGCAGTGAGTAAGTTTTTATTTAATGTCTATGCTTAATTCAATGTTTTTTGTCTCTTGTGTTCTGGGACTGTTGCTGCAGTAGTAAATTCAGCATAGGTTGTATGATATAAAATATTGTTAACTCAATGTTCAAAACTATTTTTTTAAATTTTCTAAAAAATAAAAAACATTAATTCAAATTTAAAAACTATTATTGTTCATTTTTAAAAGAAATAATAAGCGTTCATTTAATTAAAATATTTCCATCACAGGCTGACGTTATGTATTTGTATTTTTTTATTAGGCAAACTCTGGTTTTAGTACCAGTTGATGATCAATGCTGTCATAAACACGAATGAATATATTATTTAGTTGAAAGCGATCTACTGATGGTCTATCTCAACTCATGAACATCAATTTAGAAAAATAGAGATATTAACAAAAACCAGCTTAAATAACTTATGACAGTGTTGTTTAAACTAAAGCCATGTTTGCCTTTGGCTGTCAAACAAGGCCAGGTTGAAATTGTCTATAAATAAGCATAAAGGTTTTGGGAACAATCTGTATATACCATCAGCAAAAACTATCAACTATTGTTTACAAATTCTCTTCATTTCAGATTTTTTATGACAAACATTTTCTGGTTCCCCAAAAATCTGCTGCTGATTTGTTCTAGGTTAAAGATTCCATAAACTTAAATTTGTTGTCAGGTAAAGATCCTACCTTTATTCCAACTCACCCTCAGCACTTTACTGAGACTTAGGGCTGGCATGTACAAAGAGAAGAATCATTCTTTTTCCGGGTGGCATGCTTCTATCTTCTTGCTTCTTTATTTAAAACAAGATGCCCTCTTGTGTTTTTTCAAATTCACACAAGGCAGTGGTCCCAATGAATGCAGCCATCACAATGAACCCAATTTGTTGGGATTTTCCTTGGAAGAAATGATAACTACAATTTGAAGCAATGCTAAACCACGCTAGAACAACAAAGAACAAGCACATATTTCTATTTTGTTATGTTACTTTTGGTGTTTATTTCGTCTTAAAAAAATTATAATTTTATAATATAAAGTTATTCATGCATGCAACATAGTATAACAATTGTACAGTTTCCTGTACAAAACACATACAGCGTGGGTTTAACTTTAACTTATATAATAAATATTATATTATAATTAAAAAATTATAATAATTATATTTAATTTTCATTAGTTAAGTTTTATTTTCTACTTTTTAGGAAGAGATACTAAAAAAATAAGTAAAAAAGCTATAATTTATTTATTTTATACTTAGCTTATAATAGCTTTTAATAGCTTATGCCTTATAATAAGAAAATTGATGAGAAATTGTTTTAACATTAAAAAAATAATATAAATTAAATTTTAATTTATATTATTTTTTGTTTTAATTTTTTTTACTTTCAAATTTTAATCATTAAATAATTATTCAATTCAAAATAACTTTAATTTTTAAATAAAAATACATAAAAAAATAAAGGTAAACCAACGTAAAATAAATGAAACAATAATAATAATACCTCTGTATGGTATAGTTATATCGTCGTCTAACATTTTAAATATCTTTCAATTATTGTGATGTTGAATTAAAAATGAGACAAATTTTCATTTTAGAAACTAAACCGACTGGCAACCTCTTGCAGCACACACACCACAACATCCGCATTCACAAGCTCTTGGAAATACCCAGCTTTGAATTATAGCTGAATTCACTTTTAAAAAGTGTATGATTGAATGTTTATAGAGAATTTTATTAACAAACTAGAATAACACAATAAAAAGCTTTAAATGGAGGCCAAAGCGGCATTCAAATGAACAGGGTATCAGACTGTTTTCATATGATTTCATTTTCCATATTCTTCTCTAACTGATCTCAAACAATGTTTTGTAGCACTCTATTTCTATTGTTTCAAATCTGCCTTGTCTCTCCTAATTTTTGTCAGTTTCGCATGCGTATTATGAAGAACGCACGGGTTTTTATAATAGTGAACTGAGCTTCGATAAATAAATTAATTTAATACCTTTCTACATTTCCTTTCTATTTATGCAAAATTTTTCTGAGCGACTGTTTTATTTGCACAAGATGGTCGACTTGTAGTTTTTTCGACTATTTAAAATAGGTGTCTATATTTGTTACATAAATTTTCGAATTGCATTTGATTAACTATGCATTATCTTAATCAGCTTCTGTAAACCGTTTTCACTAAACGGATGTAAATCAATATCGTTAGCAAACATAATACCTTTTTACAAGTTTGCCTTCATTATAAATTCCACTGATCAATGATGTTTCCTTTTTTCATCACTTTTTCCAATAATGTTGGGAATAGTGATGCTGGTGAAGGATCACATTGCCGGCTTACAATTTCTGCTTTGATCCAGTCTCAGAATTTGGCAACAGTTATTAAAGTAATTTTAAATCCTAATAAAGTTTCTATAAATGCACTTTTACCAGTATTTTAACAATGCCATACTTCCAAGAGTCGAACACAATCCTTCACGTTAAGGCCGAGTCAAATGCTTTTTGAAATCTAAAAATTAATGGTTAATCTTTGCCAAAATCTTTTGCTTTCCATCGATAGTCTTGGCTGAATTTTCTTTCTGCTTTTCTGAAAGCTTCTTGCTCGTAACTCTACTGCTCTTTGATTTTTTCCGTCCTTTTTTTGAAAAGCTTAGCATATTCTTCATATGTGAAAAATTAGTACAATCGATCGGTAATTATTGAAAATTTTCAGGTCACTTTTTAATAACATTACCAAGATATTTTTGCACCATCTTCACCATTCGCACTAATTTTTTGTCAGATTAAATTTTTTTTTGATATTCAAGAGATTTTTTTGTTTATCACTGCAATTGAAGCTCCATTTCTCTACGTGTTTCTATTGTTTTTCATTCATCAATGATGCTTTTATACGTAGTCTCATTTCTTGTTTCTCCCCATTTTCCCTCATCTTTTTTGTGTTTTATCTTACCTTCTTTATTCATTTACACATTGTTGAATAAATTTGGATCTGTGTGAATTATTTCATCCACTTATGTTTTATTAACACCAAGTTTATAATGTTCATCATTTTTTTTTATCTTTTTCAATTTCTTGTCATTTTTTGTGTTTTTTGCAAATTCTTTCTCTATTTTTATTCTTTATTATTCTTTAAAAATCAGGATCTGACAGACGCAGAAACTGTTACAGCATGCAAGGCAGCAGTACAAAATTAAACGAATAAGTAAATAAATAAATAAAAATAAACAGAGAAAAAAAATGTTTAAACATGAAAAATAATAAAATAAATAATAAAATAAATAAAAGAAATTAAAAGGAATTTTAATCCAGGTTCCCCAGACCACATTATTCAATAACGTTTATTTTATAAATGTTATATTATTTTGTTTTTTTTTAAATAATTTAAGGTTTTATCATTTACTTGAACTTTGTTGACGAAAGTAAAAATGTTATGTCGTGCGCCGTGTTGGCAGTTCTGCGCCGTTTAAGACGGCTGCTAGTGTTGCTGGTTCGCTGATTGTTGACTTTTGAGCTTTACTGGCCGATTCTTATTAACCAGCAATTTCTTATTTTATAAAATCTGAACCTTATTTAAGACGTCACAAGTATTTTGAAGTTTCAAACAAATATATGCTTGCTTTTTGAACTTTCATTTTTATTGTCAGCCTCCAAATCAATGAAATCATCTGAGTAAAGAAACCCACTTTCAATTATCCATTGCTGATGTTGGACTCAAGCAGTGTTGTAGTGTTGTAAAACATTACCAAGTTTTCACATTTACAAAGAATGTAATGGAACTACTTATGTTAATTTGTTTCGCTCTTTGTCTCTAATTACTTATGCAGGCCAAAGTCTTTGTAAATGTGATTAGTAAAGTTCTGCACAATAAAATGTAAACTAAAGTAACATTTCAATCTTTTTGAACACTAAATTTTTAGAAAAATAAATTTAAATAAAATTAAATACAGTTTTAGCAAAATATCCTTATTAATTTTTTTAAAAGTATTAATTTGTGTTGAATTTCATAGCATATTAAAAAAATCATGAGTGTCGTCAATGGAAAAGAAAATGAATTCTTAGCAGCACCATTTTTTCGAAGCATTTGGTTTTGCTGTCTCTGTTGTTTGTTTCTCAGTTGACGCTGCTGTTTTTGTTGGATTGTTTCGTCGCGTTGTTCAGATTCGTGGCTGCTGTCACTTCTGCGGCTGTCATCGTTGCTTCTCACAGCGTTCTTTTCTTTGCACTTATCTGCGTTTTAAATTGAAATTTCAAAATCTTATAAAAATTTAAGTTGAATGGATTAAAAGTTGAAATGTTATAACGACTTGGCCATTCAAAAGCATCAGTATAGTGCAGTGCAAGTTATAAAAATTTAAAATTCATTAAACAAAAATGAATTTTAAAACAATTCAATATTCCCATTTTTTCACTTTATTCATAACAAAATTAAAGTGCAAGGTTGATGAGTGCAGCAGCTGAAGCATTGAAGGTTTGCACGCATCGTTACGTTCGTTTTAAGGTACAATTGTTATCTAATTCAAGTACATCGTTTACAATTAAATATTTCGCATTATCAAACATTTTAGCTTTTACATTGTGAAGATTGATCATGCAAGCAACATACACACACACAAACGCACACTTAAAATTTACACATATTTGATTAGGTTCATATGAAAGTTACAATTTAAATTTTTTAAACTTCGTATCTAAACTTGAGGTGAAGTTAGGTTACTTAACTATTATCAATAAAATATGAAGTTATTCATTCTAACTGTCAGACCAGAGGACGTTGTTTCAGTTCATCATAAGACATTTTTGAAAGGCAAGAGAAACAATTGAACCATAAATTTTGATAGCGCGGGCAAATAGCAAAATAGCAATATTTTAGTATCAAGCAAAAAACTCCCATAGTTATGAGACTTGTTAAAATCCATTAGCACTGAGCATATGCAACGAGAATTGGACTATGGCTAAAAAGTAGGATGTAATTTTTTGATCCCCACCTTCTAAATCATGCAATCCAATCAATCATGTAGCGATGTACACTCCCAATTATGATGTTCAATAATTTTATTCTAAAACGATCAAACAAAAAAACTAAATATCAAATGTATTTTTATATCAAATTGATTTATTCCATCAAAATTATCACGATCATTTTATCATGTCATTATTCATCCAATATTTATATTTTTATGGTTTATTAATAATTTTCATTCATTTTTAAAGATTTTTTTTGATTACTTTTCATTTTTCAATTTTATGGATTTGCATAACATTTCAACATATTGTTTTATGGCCCATTGTCCCACGAATCGCACTGATCTGCAGGGACCATCATTGACATCTGTGCACATCTGAAAAAGCAGCTTTCTAAATATTATACTTTATATTTTCACTAAATGCACAAACTGAATCAGTTTATCTAATTCACGGAGACTCCAAGTAATTTTGGGCCAGTGACTCAATTCAAACTCAAACTTTTTGAATGGCCCTAATTTATTTTGTTTTTTGACAACGTCCTTTTGTTTGCAGGCTACTGACGTGGCAACTGAAAACCTAAACCCACTTTTTTAATCTTATATAAATCCCTTGTCAGCTCAAAGATAGAGTATGCTGCTTCGGTGTGGTCTCCCTGGTCTTTGAAAGTTATAGAAGATATTGAACGGATTCAGAAGAGAGCCACAAGAATGGTGAAAGATTGTATTGGACTCAATTATGAGAAGAGATTAAGACTCCTCGATCTTCCCACACTGAGGTATAGACTAATCAGAGGTGATCTTATTACAGTTTTCAACATAACTAGGAACAGCGTATTATCATCGTGTTATCCTGTGTTAAAAAAATCTAACGATGATTGTACCAGGGGTCATCCGTTCAAGTTGTAATATACTCATAGTTTTAACGCGAATCATGGGATATTTTGTTTTTCGAATAGGGTGGTTGAGTTATGGAACGGCTTGGATGCGGACATTGTGATGGCTAAAGATGTTGAAACATTTAAAATGAAGTTGGATCGACGTATGAATTCTACGGACATGATGTTCAACTGGAGATCCTCGCTTGGCACAATGTCATAGTTTATATATTTATATTATCTTTGACATCTTTGTGGTTAATGTGTGTGTGTGTGTGTGTGGGCTGATGCGTTTGTGAGTGTGTACACACACACACATATATATATATATATATATATATATATATATGTATATATAGACATAGATGTATGTATGTACATATATATATATATATATATATATATATATATATATATATATATATATATATATATATATAGACATTTATCATTAACAATCTGTATTTCATCCAACTCTATTTTATTTTACTTCATTTATTTATTTTATTTTTTTAAAATACAATGGAATCTTTTCATTTGCTGGAGGAATAGGAACGTCAGTTCGCGTCTCTCTATTTCCTGTTTATGTTATGTTATGTTAAATGAAAATAAAATAAAAAATAAAACCAAAATATTTCAAATCGAATACAAATTGAAAATAAAAACAAATGCCTTTAAGTTGTAGCCGATAAACATCTCCACCGATAACATCAAAGTCACTGTCGTTACGTTTGTTAGGAGTAAATTGTTTGCTGTGCTGATTAACGTGCGAAAGTTCGTAAGAGCTCAAGCAGCTTCCACTTTTTATGGTCATCAATAAAGTGTTGTTCAAATTTTCTGCGTTTTGTTTTTGGAAGATCTGGTAAGTGAATCGAAAATATAAAAAAATGAACAATGCAAATACAAAAGTAATGATTGATTCAATCAAAATAATCAAAAAATCTGATCATGAAATATTTAAACAAATAACGAAACCCCACCAGACACGTCGTTGAGTTCAAGTTGAGGTCGAATGTCACCACTCTGATCTCCCTGCTATCTTTCCACCATGACAAGCAGACAAGTTGTCGCACTGTGGAGATTAATTTTTGTTTTATACATGACGTACGTTCAATACTATGTGCAACGTAACGCATAAGGTATAATCAATGCGTCTGTAGCCGAAGGTGAGAGTGGGAATGGTTTTGTTAAAAAATTTAAAATAACAGGAGTGATTCAGTTGGAGACAGGAGTGACTTAAGAGTAGGGGAATGACAGTTTTTGCCATATTAAAAAATTTTCTAGTTGTATTTTTCCGTTCATGTTTTTTAAAGATTATAACGATTTTTTTTTATATGTTTTTCCAGTTTTATAGCTTGATGTTTTTTAGTTGTTAGCTTTTTAAACAAAACATTGAAGCTTTCTTATATTGAAAAAATTTAACAAAAATGATTAAACCTGCCACATGTGTTTTATATATGCCTTTAGCAGATCGGTACTACCCTTAAAAAGTTGAAATTTGTTCTTCAAAAACCACGCTTATGTGAAAAATTTATAAAAAACTTAGTTTTTTTTACTCACTAGCTGCTAATGATTCTAGAAGACATCTCAAACTTTCAAACTTCGACCATGCAAGCAAAACATTAAATACCTGTTTTGGCTATTTAAATTTATTCGCCAGAGCATTTTTAATTATGTATCAACATGATTGGTTTTATTTTTGATAATTTGACATAATTACTTTTATTCTTGATATAATGACAATTTGTTTGCCAGAAAATATATAAGGTTATTTTATTAAATTATAATTTAATAATAATAATTATTATATTATTATTATTTAATAATTATTATTCATTGATTAATTTAATTAGTCTGAATAAGCTTGGTAATTAAAATATGCATTGTTATCACAATTCGAAGAAGAATACAAAATTCGGAATGAGGATGTTTACCTCTGCACTTTACGTTCAAAGCATGTCACTTGACAAAGTAAATTTAATAAATTTTTTTAAAGTGATACCTTAACATAACTTTTCCAAATTTTTAATTTTTTTAAAAGGGAATATAAAAAATGTTTTCGATTACCTACAGTTTCAGTTATAAAATTCACGAATCAAGCACGTGAACAAATTATCAAAGTTATTCCAGGCTGATCCCAAATGCAAACACAAACTCAACTGACATTTTTCAGATTGGCATTGGTAATCCAATTCAATTCTGTCGTTGAAGACATCGCATCCCATTCTGACTTCAAGAGGGCAGTCGATACCTGCATGCAAGTGTGTGACGTACCTGCCCTTGTATGGACATCTGCCCTCTTCGCCATCATTAGCACCTGCTCTCCAACCAGACGAACGAATGCAAATGAAAAATTCAAGACAACGAACACGTTATAAATGAATGAATGAATGAATGATTGAATGAATGAATGAATGTATGAATGGATGGATGGGTGGATGAACGAATGAATGAATGAATGATAAATGAATGAACGAACGAACGAATGAATGAATGAATGAATGAATGAATGAATACACCACGCAATAACTTTACACACAAAAAAAACGTAGGAATGTATGAAGAGCTTAACATAAAAAATATTTTATTTAAGGAAGTGTACGTTTGCCCACGCAACAAATTTTTTTCCAAATACATTTTATAAAGAATACATTGCTATAAAACATTGAAACACTATGTTGTAACAATATAATTTAAATAATGTATCTTTAGTTGACTAAAGGTTTTTATGCAATAATCAAACAGGATTATATAAAAACAATAAAATTGAAAGAAATGTTGACAGAATGAAAACAAATTTGCTTTGCTTAGTGGCATCGTCCTCATTTGGTACGAGTGGGCTCAATATATTTTTACATAACTAAAAAGAAAATTTGGAATTTGATGTGGGTCGAAGAAAGTCAACAGGTAATAAACAACAGCATTTTGGACGCCGATTCAGGATTAACTAAATTTTTGGATAAATCAGCCAACGACTTATATAAAACTAATTTGTATTTTTTGCTAATCTGGACTGGTTTAACTATAGTTATTATTGAAAGGCTTCAAACGGTTTATTGTCACTGATTAAATAACAAATTTATTTGTTCGCGCAGCGACGTAGTTCAAGTGTATAAAATTATTAAAATTTTGCTCATTCTTCCGTCTAATTGTTGCCACTAAATATTGAAATCGGACGTTTAGCAGTGAATGTCGATACAAATATGCAACAATGATTTTAATAAATATAAAAAAGTATTTTCAAATTTATCGCTACACTAAACGCACAAAAAAATGTGTTAAATGACCGTCATATATTAAAATCATTCTCGAAATTTTGAAATGTATGTTTTAACACCGTATAAACCAATAAAAGATTTTATTTTTTAACTTTTACATAACTTACAGTTCACAAAACATAAACAAAAGAACAATGATTGTGAATCAATTGAAACATTGATAAACGAGGAAAAACAGTGGTTTTTACTCGTTTGCATCGACCAACTAAAACAATTGGTAAACAAATTAAGACGATTGAATAACTAACAAAAACAACTGATCTACCAATATAAATACATAATCTGCCAAAAATTGAATTGACAATAAAGATAATTAACTAACGAGCAAAACAATTGATTGATTAACAAAAAGACATAATTCACACAGACAAACAGCTGACCCATCAACAAAAATAATTGATCCATTAAAGAAAGACAATGATTGAAAATAAAGGTAATCAATCAAAGATCAATAAATATTGATTTGCCAACACACAAAAACAATTAGTTCACCAAAAAACCAATTGTTTTACCAACAAAAACAATTGATCCACCAACATTAACAATTGATCCACAAACAACAATAATTGATCCACCAACAACAATAATTGATCGACCAACAACAATAATTGATTCACCAACAAAAATAATTGATCCAACAACATAATCAATTAATTCACCAACAAAAACAATTGATCTACCTGCAACAATAATTGATCCACCAACAAAAACAATTGATCCACTAACAATAATAATAATTGATCCACCAGCAGCAATAATTAATCCACCAAAAAAATAATTGATCTACTGATAAAAACAATTGATCCATTAACAAAAACAATTGATCCACCAACAAAAACAATTGATCCACCAACAAAAACAATTGATCCACCAACAAAAACAATTGATCCACCAACAAAAACAATTGATCCGCCAACAAAAACAATTGATCTACCAACAACAATTATTGATCCACTAACAACAATAATTGACCCACCAACAAAAATAATTGATTCACCAACAAAAACAATTGATCTACCAACAACAATAATTGATTCACCAACAAAAACAATTGATCCACCAACAACAATAATTGATCCACCAACCAAAATAATTGATCCACTAACATAAACAATTGATCCTCCAACAAAAACAAATGATCCACCAACAGAAATAATTGATCCACCAACAACAATGATTGACCCACCAACAACAATAATTGATTAACCAACAAAAATAATTGATCTACCAACAAAAACAAATGATCTACCAAAAAAAAACAATTAATCCACCAACAGAAATGATTGATCCACCAACAAAGACCATTGATCCACTGAAAGAAATAATTGATCAATAAACAAAAATAATTGATCAACCAACAATTGAAAATATAATTGAGCCACCAACAAACAAAGCCGACTAAAAAAACATTGTCGTTCAACAATGACAATTGATCTACCAACAAAAGCAATTAATTCTGGTCGGCGCGATGGTGTAACGGTAGAGTGCCTGGCTGGCACTGTCATTGTTGTGACCGAATTCGATTGCTCGTCTATCATATGCAGTGTCTGAGGCGTTGTTCTACGTGTATGTATGTGCAATGCGTGTTTGTGTTGATACCTCTAAAAATATTGAAAAGTGAATTGTAACAATAATATATAAAAACAGTTTGAAATAATTCAACAACAAAGTCAATTAATCCATCAACAAAGATAATAATTGATCCACCAACAAAGAAAAAAGCAACAACCAACCATTGATTAACAAAGGGCAAAAACCGATTGATAAACCAACTAAGATAACTGACGAATTAACAAAAACAATTGATTCACCAACAAAAAACATCAATCAAAAATGATAGTTGATCAACAAAAGCAATCTATACACCAATAAAAGCAATGCACACTAAACTGTTAAAATATGTATGTTTTAATTTACAAATTCAAAACATTGTTAATTAAGTTTTTTAATCATTTTCTATATGGATGATAGATTATTTTAATAAATTAGAAAAAATATCCATACCAATAAGGAGTAGCTTTTTGGTGTTGTTACTGATGAAACTTGTATTTTTGCATTTTGTTCTTAAGTCTTTGACCGTTTCACCTAAAAACAGTCAAATTTACAAATACGATAATGATGAATTGAATTAAAACGCAATGCAAGTATAAAAAGACATACGATACGATACAATACTTTTATTTGCTTCTAAAAAGTTAACAAAAAAAAATAGAAGACAGGATGACTGTGATCAAGTTATCATGTAACTCATCAAGCATAGCCACCTTGCAAATAGTTTCAAAAAAGTAAATAAAAAACCAGTCTGATATAATACAAAGTGATCAAATTAAAAAAAATGAAATTATTTCTGTAATCTAAATCACTACAAAAAAAACTCATAATTATTACCAGTTTTTACAATAATTAAAAAAATACAAAAGAAAATTGTCATTATAAACAAAAGTCATCACCATCAGCACCACCACCACCAAACATCCTCATCGCCACAACCATCACCACGATCCTCATCACCATCACCATCATTAACATGCAAATCGCTAAACACCATCACCACCACCATCAAACATCTCCACAACCATCACTACAATCCCCATCACCATCATTAACATGCAAAACGCCAGACACCATCATCACCACCACCACCAATTATCCTCGTTACCACCATCATCATCACTTTTGTCATCACCATCATTAACATATAATTTTGTCAATATAAATCACTTAAACAAGGTTATGTTGTTTTGTTAATTAAAATTGCCTTTAGCTTTTTCTTGAAAATATTCAGTCTTGCATCCAAAATAATGTTTAAGTTATATTTAGCTATTAAATTATTCCATATTCGCGCACCTGCACATGAAATGATATTTAAACTTCTCGAATTCAGAAAGACTATATTTACCAAAAAAAATTGAAAATTAACAAGCTTAATAAATTTTACAGCTCCACTAAAATAAAAAATCATCAAAACTTGAAACAACTCTTGATGGAAAAGCATTAGATGCAAAAAAATAAGGTTTTATGCCCTTCCAATTTATAAAATTTACCGGATATGTCTGTTGATTTAAATTCAGATGACTTTACGTAGTTTTTTAATAATAAAGTAGATACAATTTTTGAAACAATGAAACATGCCAATGAACTAAAAATTCAACCGGCGTATCTTGAAATGAAATGTTGTTTTCATCTTTTCATCAATGCTCTTCTGATGAGATTCGCAAAATTTTTCTTGATTCACCAATGAAATTTTGTGTTCTCGACTCTCTACCAACAAAACTGTTTCAAAGTACGTTGATTTGTTTTTTCCGTTTCTGACATTTTTCATCAACTTATGTCTAGCATCTGGTTACTTTCAGAGACCGTTAAAATTTGGAATAGTCAATCCGTTATTGAAGAAATAAACTCTTGACAAAAATACATTAGCAATTATAGACCTGTGTCAAATCTGCTATTTTCATCTAAAGTTAATAAGCGAATCGTTCAAAAACAGCTTATTCATTATTTCAATCAACACAACTTTCTACCAAAGTATCAATCTGGTTTCAAAAAATGTCACTCAACTGAATCTGCATTGACTGATGTTGCATCAGAGCTGCTTGCAACAATAGATGGTCAAAATATTTCTGTTCTTGCTCTACTCGACGTGACTGCAGCATTCGATTGCATTTTTCATGCAATTTTTCTTAAGAAACTTGAAAATTCTTTCAGAGTTTCGGAGGTTTCACTTAAATAACTAGAATCGTATCTTTTAGGGCGTAAACAACAAGTTTCATTTAACAATAAACCATCAAACATCTACGAACTCAACCATGGTGTACCTCAGGGTTCTGTTTTGGGACCACATCTGTTTCTACTGTACACGTCAGCCGTATTAAATTTGATAGAATCATTCATTTTGAATTTTTACGCATTTGCTGATGATATTCAGATTGTGGCAAGTAGATTGGCTGCTTTGTTCCAAGAAACCGTTAACAGTGGAGTCGTGGATGATTGAACATCGATTGAAAAGAAATCACATCAAAACTCAGTTTTT